TTTTCAGATTGTCGATGTTTATGTTGATGATGAGTTTGTGCTTACTATTAACGAAGGAGGTTCTTTTGGCGAGCTTGCTCTTATTTATGGAACACCAAGAGCTGCAACAGTCAAAGCAAAGGCAGTCATTTATTTAAAGGAAACATCTCAATTCCTACTACTTGTCAAATTCAAACATATTTTGAAGACGGACGTCAAACTATGGGCGATTGACCGCCTCTCCTACCGACGCATATTGATGGGGTCAGTGTTGAGGAAACGCAAGATGTATGACGAGTTCCTATCTAAGGTTCAGATTTTAGGTAAGTTTGTGTTTTTGCTTACGAATTGTTGTTTTGCGTCAAAGCGTTGATTTTGCAGCTGATCTTGACAAATGGGAACGCGCAAATGTTGCTGATGCTCTTGAACGATGTGATTTTGAACCTGGAACTCATGTGGTTGAACAAGTGAGTTTCGCAGTTGACGAAGACTGTGAGGTTATTATGGTTGCACTGTTTTAGGGCCAGCCTGGAGATGAATTCTTCATAATACTTGAAGGTGAAGCCAATGTGCTGCAGAAACGAAGTGATGACGCGCCTTTCGATGTTGTTGGTCATCTATCTTCTTCCGACCACTTTGGTAAACATTCACTTTCTCTTTGCAGCTTCGTTATTCTGTTTTCTGATTAGAATTGACGTATTGCACTTTTAGGTGAAGTTGCCCTCCTTTTGGATTGCCCCCGTGCTGCCACAGTTGTTGCGAAGACCCAGTTGAAATGCATCAAGCTGGATCGTGCCCGTTTTGAGCGTGTAATGGGACCTGTTCGTGAGATCCTCAAGCGTGACGTGTCTAACTATAACTCCTACGTCAAACTGATGACCTGAACCAAGCATTAGCAACTAGCAAATGACGCTAACGTTTAGATTTTTCTCTTCTCTAGTCATTAATGCCGGACTGGTGCAATATGAACTTTAGCGGTGTTTATGAATGAGCCAGTATTTTTAATTCAACCAAGTTTGGAGAGAACTCGGCCTTGAGATGGACTATCCGCCTTCCTGATTGCCTTTTGGTGAATTTTTGAAATGTGGTCTCCTAGCTTAACCATTAAATACTTACAACGGATGTACCTTGTTTATTGACTTTAAAAAAGCATTGCCCTGCCTATCAATCGAAACAGCTTCCTATTCTCGTGGCAGAAAATGCACTTATAACGTAGCTTCTTCAAAAAAAGGCCGGTTTGTTGGGTTTGGCCACGAATCAAGCTCAAATTCCTGATGGTTCCCCTTTTGTCTAATAAGGCATTTTGAGCGGGTGTCGCAGACTTACTTCCTCGTTTTTTCACCTGCTGATCCACTCATGAGGTTATGCCTACTTGAAGCGACCATCAGTTATCATCTTACCTTCCTTTTCGCGCGATCACGTATAAATAAATTTATTGATATACAAGCTCAATACAAAGCTGCCTCTATATATACTTTCCATCACATAACCGATTTACACAACAGTTTCGTTCCCGTATTCCACAGCTGCTAGAAGTGCACTCCTTCGTCGCACAAATAATTTGCCTCTGTTCCATGGATTCTGCAGTCGAGCTACTGCAAATTCATCCTTGAGCCGGCGCTCTCTCGTCCCAATGACAGCGACGAGACAGAAGTCCTTTACGTCTAAAGCTCTTAATTCGCTTT